CCCTTAGACCCCCTTTTTTCAACCGTTTTGCGGTTGTCTGAGCCGGGTTTCTGTTTTATTGATGAGTAAATGCTTCGTAAACGCGTACCACTCGATGCCACAGGATAATCGGTGGAGATGTTTAGGGCCGGTAAGTATTATTGTTCCGGGTCGACCGACGGATCCAATTTCTATAGCAAAGTGAGGAGTAGGGATGAGAGGAAAGTCCAAATTTGGAACAGATGATAGTAATATAATGATTCACGACTCGTGTACCTAAAGTGTCAAAAAACTGCCCCGCCAGGGGGATAATGATGCAAGTGTCTCTAGTCACTCTACCCACGCGCTCTGAAAATGCTAGAATATTTCAAAGAACAGATGAAATATGGAAGGAGAGTGAAAAAGAGAGAAAAAAGAATGCATTAAACAAGAACCCAAAAATAAAACAAGAGGGATATCGTCGCAATGCCCAACAAAAATCCAGACTTGCTTTTTTTTTTTCTCGTTTTCTTTCTCTCGCAATCGGTCAGAATCGCGACCCGCGCTGTACCCGCCGAGCGAGGAGGCCCCCGCATACCAATTCCACATGGGCCTCCACCGAGTATTAGAAACAAAAGAGGAAAAATTGAAGAGAAACGAAAGAAAAAAACAAACACCAAATCTCGTACACACCAACGGTAGGAAGGTCTTAAAATGACGAAAGCCTCGGCTGATTAGGTGAAAGGAAAAGGTCATATCTCTTTCTTCCGGCGTCAATTGGGAAGGGCGTGAAGCATGAATCATGATTAAAGGGTTGATTCATAATCATTGTTTTCATTACCGTCCTTGGATCCAACGTCGTATGGAGTCCAAGGAGGGGTCATCATCAAGCCAGTGACCTGCCCGCAGGTCAGCAGCTCGAAGGTCGGCGACAACATGTTGGTCTGTCACGCGGGCCAGTTCTTGTTGCAGCACTGAGTGCGCACTTTTCAAAGCTGCTGCATGCGCCCCAGTGGGCCGTTGGCCGCGTAGAGTGGCCGTTCGAGTCATAGCCCATCGTCGTGAGGCAGCGGCACGGAGGTAGATTTTGTGTGCTTGGAAGCGGCGGGCACTGCTATCAATAATGACCCTGTTAAGTAGAAAGTATTAGATCCATATTTCAATATTTCACAAAGACCTGCAACTTGTTGCTTTAGAGACAGCTCTTTTCGGATTCAAGAAGATACCTTTGGAGCTCGGCCTTTTCGGTTTCCGCACTGCCTTGACCGGTCATGGGGCATGGTTGGTAATTGGCGGACAGCAATCGTTGAGCCGAAGTGTGGCATTCCCGGAGAACCGTATAGCCCTCCTCGTACTGGTCCTCGGGTGAGACATCGACTTGCTGTTGGGAAATATGTAGCAAAAGAGTTCGGTAATCGTTGATAAGCTCGGCCACTCGCACTGCGCGGGCCTGGTTCACTAAATTTTGAGTCCACCTGTTAGCAATTGGAAACTGGGCATTTTTGGGATGATCAATTGCCTACTTCCGTCTGCCATCGAGGAAGATAAAAAAGTGTTGGGCGGGTATTAAAAAGAAAGGAAACGAGATAGGAGCCTAGAATTGGCGAGAGAAGAAGGGACGAAAAGACATCAATGAAAGACCAAGGAAAGAGAAAGGGTGGTATTCCCTTGAATTAACATCAGAATGCGTATGATGATGTAGTAACAGTCCGGGGAGAGACAGAGGGGAGTCTTTATAAGCTTGGACAGCTGTTGTCAATTACCCCATACCTGGCGGGTATTCAGAAAAAGCAAGACGGCGAAAAATAAAAGAAAAGAAAATAAAAATCAATTAAAAAAATTCGGCGCTAGGAAAAAATATATTCAAAAAAGGAAGAGGTACTAGTAGAAGACCAGAAAATCAGCCCGACAGCGGGGGCAGGCAGGACGTCAGGAGGATCATCGGAAAACATGGCTGGCTGCACCAATGGTCAACGAGAAGCGCAAGATGAGAGTCAAGCACAGCTGGAATGCAATCTACACAGATGGACCGGGCCATACGATAGCTCCCGGGGGAACGGCTAACGGGTCCAGCAGGGCCACTCCCTGTTCCAGAGTAGGGGGTCCTTTTGATCCACCTGGGGGTGGAGGAAGGGAGAAGTGGGCTAGGGACCGACAGAAGTACGGAAGAATTAGTAGTTATGCAGCCAGAGGGGGAGGGGCTAGGGCTACGACAACTATTTTGGCGCGGCAGTTCTCAGGTCAGGTTTGGTTGAGAGGAAACGGAGGGTCCGAGCAGCAGCAACAAATGGCCCACGTAGAGTGGAGCCCTGGTGCGATTAAGTTCCTGTGCGGCCGATTTGGTGTCGAAGCGTTGTCTCCATCGCGCGAGGGAAATGATAGACAAACGGCTTCACAATGGTGATTGGCAGCTGCCCAGCGCTGGGGGGGCGAACAGCAGCGGGGGGAAACCAGATGAACTGGGTGGCTCGTGGGACCCCTGTCACACCCGGTAGGACCTGCATACGAGTAGGCGAGATCGGGAGGAAGTGTGTGTGTGTGTGTGTGTGTCTTCAGTGTGTGGCAAAACATTGCGAACAGGTCAAGCCTGGGCAAGTTTGTAGTTGCATAAAGTGGGAACCAACCGGGTCGAGGTCGAGGTTCGTCAGCGGCCTTTGGGAGGACGTCAGAGCTGTCAGTCAGTGGCCCCTGCTTGCATGGCCGAAGGAATCCGAAAAAAAGGATCTCAAGCTAAGACGGAGGGTGGATTCATTATTGGACGTTAGCTTTCAGCTCGGACAAAAAAAGTAAATAAAATACAAGTACATACAAGTATAAAATAAAAAAAGATCCAAAGTGAATGGGCCCAGCCACGTTTGCTGAGCCACATGTGGCGCCCCCGGATACAGCTGAAGCGACGCACGATTGAACATAGATACTTGCCCTCCTTGCCTGATGGCTACTCGTACATCTTTTTGGCTGCTTTAGTGCTCTGTCTATTTCAAGCTATAGCCTATTCAAATCTGGATGCATCGAGCAGTGGCGATAGGAATGGGACCCCGCTGAGGGTGCTGACGACGGGCCGTCCCAGCTTATCCAAGGGTGGTTCCTCTTGCGTGTGAAACACGGCCGAAACCGAAGACTTGCAGTGTACAGCTTGTCTACTCGTTGATCCTCTGCTTCTACTCGCTCTAAAGTATGGAACTACATAATAATTTATAAATAAATAATCATAATTTCTCCAACAATATGGAGCACTCAAAAAAAAGAGACTAAATAATCATCTGAGGTACATACACAAGCCAGGGTATACGCCCCGATATACGCCCGAGGAAGAAAGATAAACCTTCCCCAAGGGAGACGGTGCAGGACAAATCTGATCCATTCGGTCTATCACTCCTATTTCTGCAAGTCACCTTGGCACGCTCAGTCCTTCTCCGCTATGGCCTGCAGCCGTTCGTCAATCTCCTCCTCCGTCAGAGCACGGAACTCTGTCGTGGTACTCTCGCCATCGACCTGCGGACCGCCCACAATGCCAATCTCCAGCTCGTGCTTCTTGAAGTCAACGCTCAGCACATTGCTCAGGGCAGTGATACCCAGCTCCACCACTTCTTCCCAGTTACCGGCGGCCGCATCCTTGTTCTTCAGCTTCTTCTCCAGGTAGTTCAGCGCCTCCTGCTGCTTGGGTCCCGAGGCAGTGGCCTTGTATCCGACGTAGTAGCCGGCCGGATCGCACTTGTAGAGCTGGGGACCGTTCTCGTCATCGACAGAGATGAGAGTCGTTGCCACACCAAGTGGCCGCATGTAGGCCTGTCGATCGTTAGAATGGGGTGATACTCGAAAAAACCATCCCATCCCATCCACTTGTGTGGCGGCGGGTGGAACGGGCGGCTGACTAGATGACAGATAACGGGTGGAGGGCTGGGAAGAGACATACTCGTTGTGTGTAGACCTGGTTGATATTCGCCAATCGCTTCGCAAGCACATCGCAAGGCATCTCGTATCCGAATTTGTAGCGGAACTCAGCTGCCTCACCACGGGCCCGGTCAACGGATGCCCGCGCATCTGCTATGGAGCCAGTCATCACGCAGCCCACCGAGGGCGAGATCTTGAAGACATGTGAAACGGAGGACGGATCGATGAGTTTGTCCTAGTAAGGGAAAGAGAAAACCGGGTCAGTCTGCTGCTTGGGCGAGGTTCAGGTTCCAAAGGTAAAGCTTACAGCAACTTTCTTTTGGGAGAGAACAACAGCACAGTCTTTTCCGCGGACACCGATGGAGGTAATGTTGGCAGAGGTGATGGCCTTGAAAGCATATTCTGAGGTTCGAAGTGTTGATCAGCCATCATGACGAGGGACGTAGTCGGTAGCCCAATGTGGACAAGGATCCGGTGTTATGGAGGGACAGGATAAACATACCGACTTGGTACAATCGACCTTGGTCGGAGAAGATAGTGATGTGTCTATCGTAGCCAGCTGGTGCGGAGAGGATGAATGTTAGTCGGGGTTGAGGTCATCGGGGGCTGGTGCGTGCCAACGCGGGGAGGTGGCTCGATCTTCATACCGGACATGACGGCGGTTTATTATGTGTGCTATGAAATATGGTCGGAATGGCGGGATTGAAGAAGCAAAGAGGAGCGGGATTGGATGGGAGTGAGGTTTGGAGATGCTGCGAGTGACGCGCGCCAGCGGTGCCTTAAGCTCTCCAGCTTGAGCTTTCACCGCCTTCACCGCAACCCTCAGGTGGATATAGTCACCTAAGCGATGTTGAGTAGATAGTTCAAGCAGCGAAATAATAATACTGCATTTGTTTATGAATTTAATTATGGCAAAAAGGAAAAGACATTTACCCAGGCGTGTACTAATGAGACGAACAGACTTATTTTTTCAACGGCTCACGGAAGCGATGCACTGTAGCATACGGAAATAGGACCAAGGATATCATTTGCAAGTTCAATTTTCATAGACACGAAATATGATACATCGTCATGCTGCCATGGTATAGATGCAAATATGCATTTCTGAAAGAAAGAAAAGACGCCAACCAGAACTACAGCCACACGGCTTAATCGCTATCACTCTCGCTGCTCGAGATCTCAATCTGAGCAGTTCTCATCTTCCGCTTCTGCTTCTTCTTGTTCTTGCTTGGGGCAGGTGGCTCGGGCTTTTTGGGTTCAGGTGTTGGAGGCGCAGGCTTGGCCTTTGCTGCCTTCTTGCGAGGGGGAGCGTTGTCACTATCACTGCTGGAAGAGTCGCTTCCGCTGCTGCTTGTAGAATCGTCGCCGTTATTCGCCTTCTTAGCCTTGGCTGCCTTCTTCTTCTTGGATGACGACTTTTCGTTGTCGCTATCACCGTCACTCTCACTGCTGCTCGAAATATCGACAACGACAGTTCTGTTCTTGCGCTTCTTCGGTTGTGGGGGCTCTTGCTTTTGCGGCGGCATGGGCTTCTGGCCAATGTACAGCTTGCCCGTGACTGCGAAGAAGACAAGCTCCGCACGCTGTCTCTTTTGAAGACGTTTGCGAATCTCGCCCTCAAATTGCTCCACGGAATCGGAAGCACCAATATCCTCGCTGCCCGCAGTCAAATATTCCCTGAAGCCATCCACGGCCTGATGGTACTCTTCATCCGCCTCAACCTCTTTATCAACAGACATGACTTCCGCTGCTCCTTGACTTAAACGCATCTTCGACGCCTCGCCCTTCAACCCCTGCAAGTAGACCAGGAGGGCAACGTTGTAGGCGGCGGGTACATGCTCCAATGAGTAGAGATGCTTGAAGATATTCGATTCGCGGTTCTTTTGGAATTTCCAGGAAGCCCGGTCCCGATGATACCAGTTCAGGTAGGAGAGGATAGGCGTCTCGTGGACCTGTGTGGTGGTGGTGGTGGCGGCTCCGCTCTTCCTCTCTTTCTTCTTCTCGCGTTTGCGCTTCTTCATATCCTCAAGGGCTTTCTCATGCTCTTTCTCCTCCGGGGCCTCGGCGGTGTTGTTGTCAACCTCGGCCTCGTCGCCGGCATCATTATCGCTATCACTCGAGTCCTCGGCGTCTTTTGTCTTTGTGCCCGGTCCGAAGGAAACACGCTTCTTCGTCTTCTTCTTCTTTTGCGAAGATTCGTCGGCGGCCTCGGTTTCGTCGTGTCGGCGCTTCTTCTTCGAAGCTTCATCGTCACCGTTTTCGCTGGATGACTTGCGCTTCATTTTGTCTTTAGACTCTGACTTGTGTTTCCTCTCTGTGCTGGCATTCTCGTTCGTAACGTCGTGATTGTCGAGCTTTGATGTCGCCTTCCGCGACTCGTCGGGCGCGCTTTTGGCCATAGTTTCGGCTGCAACCGCTATGCGCAGGCTTATAACGAGGGAGGAATTGACAGAGTGTTAATTGGTTGCCAATTCGTGTGCCAATTTGAAGTTTAACCTCTATCCAAAAAGTTGCGATGAGGCGGCGTCGACTTTTTTCTGCCGGATCCACCGGGGCGGTCCCGGTAAGCTAGAGTATATCAGCAGGGTGCCCGCCCCAGACCATCCTAGGATCCCATGGGATCCCAACCTATTGATGGAAAGCAACCGTTCAATGCAAAATGAGACATATTGATCAAGGATTATGCCCTTCTTCAATGACAATTGACTACAATTACGTATAATACAGCAGTGAAATATATGGGGAGAGCTTTGATTTTCATACACTCTCAATCAAAACAATCGTGGATTCGTCTCGCATTATTGAGAGTAACTACTCCTAGCCTAGCACTGCTCTACAGGATTCACGTTATGCGTCAGGTATGTAGCAGACCCTTTGCAGCGCCTACTCTCGACGAGCCTCCTTCGGGGCAGTAGACTCCGTCCCAGACCCAGCGTTTGCCGATGCAGCAGTACCCGCTGCTTTCCTCCTCGCGCGTTCCCGTTCCCGCTCCTTCTCCTTCTCCTTGTCCCGAGAAGTAGTCGTAGGCTTCCGACGGTTTGGACGAACGGGCTCATATACATCATTGAAATTCATGACCACACCCAGGAAGCGCATGTCCACATCAGGTTGATAGGCAAGGTCTCCAAGTAGCAGATTGAGGCGCGATTTGAAGTCGGCTGAGAGATCGCGAAGCCGGGTGCGTAAGGTTGGAAGCATTTGATCGTCGTTCATATCAGCTCCGTCGAGGGAATAAGGTGTTTCGATTCCGTCGACCCCGGCGCTTGCGGGCCGAATGTCCGGGGTGGATGCTATAGATGCACCTCCGCGGCTGTTCGCCCGACGTGGACGTATGTCGCTGTCTGTGACGCCCCAGCGGCCTTGCACGGTGCGTGTCTCGATTTTAGCCATGAGTTCCTGTCGGCGGGTGAATTCAGCAACAGAAAAGGAGTAGAGGCCATCCACGGCGTCCTTGTATGCAAGCATGATCTTCAGAATTTGATGGAGCTGGGAGAGGAAGCTCTCTTCTGGCTGTTTCGCGGATGTTGAGGTTGAAGAGCCGTATCGTGGGGTTGAAGTAGAGCCTAGCAGGCCCTTATGTGTGATAGAGTTGAGATATTTGTTGTGTGCATCGATCAGGTCGCCCAGAGTGCAATCCGGCTTTGACATCTCGTTCTGCAGTTGATCCCAGCTAGACTCGATCACTTCGAAGAGAATATAGTATTGGAGCTGGCAGACAAAATGTATCATTTCTGCAATGACACATCGTGCGCGCTTCCAGTCTGCTCCGAGAATGTCCTCCACATTGCCTAGCACTCCTCTTGCGCCGGTCATACATCTGCGCCAGGTACTACCTAGGGCAAACTCAACCCGTTTCACGCGCCACAAGAAGTTGAAAACTTTGAGGTATTGCCTCGACCCCCAGGGCGTGATCACCACGTCTACCGGGGCATCGATCTTATATTCCAGTGTGAAGCAGTCCCAGCCGATTTCACCGTGGCTGAGCTCAAGCATTCGTGCATCCAACCGGCGAAGCACATCAGCAGAATCGTACTGGGCATTGGAAGCTCGAATAGCATGCTCCAGTTGGGCAGTGAGCGTATGTCGATATTGTGAGTTCGCAGGACGGTCTAAATTCGAGGCTAATGACTCCATCAACAGAGCGATGAAGTCGCCTTGGCCTAACAGCAGATATTTCTTTAGCGCTCGCAAGTGATCGAACAGCTTAAACTTGTCATCCATGAGATGAATCAGTCGCGCCATGGTTGTTTTGTATGCTTGGTCAATCGAAGATTCCAAAGTGTCCGTATCACCGTATTTCAGCTCCTTTGAAGCTTCTTTAGAATACGCCTCTACCCACGCAGAATCCTCACACCCGGTCCGGATGAAGTTTAATGACTTTCCAATGAGGAAGACTTTTTCCGCAAATTCACGTGTGACAATTGAAGGAATGAGCCCATCGACCAATTTGTACTTGTGCTCCCACACGCTCGTTGCGATGCCACGCGGGTCATTGTTAGGCCGAAATTCTGGCTCGTCGACGAAAAATTCCTTGTACGGATCAGAAAGTTCTCCATCGTAGATCCATAGCTGTAGCATATCGTAGAACGGACGGGTAACATGGGCTAGGAGCTTCTCGGCAAAAGCACCCACGAAAGGGTCTCCATGCGATGTCGAAAATCCGTGAATCAAGGAAATCAACTGACCACCCTTTTTATCTTTGAGAGGGATTAGTACGCGATTCAAGGTGCATATAATCAACTTTGAGAGATCACTCACCACGAGATTCCTCAACAATCAGACTCATCAGCCGAAGGGCCATGGTTGCATCCCGCGTCCATACCATACACCGCTTCAAAGTAACGCCTCCCTTTCTCACGCCCTGGGACTGGGTTCCATCTCCAATTGCGACCAAGGCTTGTCTAATTTCCGCCTCCAGCGTTGCAACCAAGCCAAGGTAGGAGTGCAATTCTTTGGAGATGGCCGCTTTCAAGCTTTGGTGGACCAATCCCTTATTCTCACCATCGCAAAACTCCGACAACTCTTTGTAAAGAAGACAAGGCTCCGCTAGGGAGTGTAGAAGAGAAATGATGGGAGAAGGCAACGTAGCCGGAAGCTTCAGGACCGAGGAAGATTGAAATTGCAGGTTGGAAGACGATAGGCCCTGAAGGTTGAACGGTAGGTCTCGCAAGAGCCCATGCTCAACCGACTCTTTCGATCGCGGATAACTAGGCGTCATTGTTGGTGATGCCGCGCCTTGACGATCATCGGCTTCCCGGTCTGTATCGTAGTTGCTAGCGCGACTAGCTATTCCCTCGCGAGCCCGTTCACTTGAGACACGCGCGGTGTATTCTGTGGACTCTCGCTCTGCAAAAGAATCTGGTCGCTCCGGCTTCGATGAGAGCGGGATCTTCTGCGAAGCAGAAGAGCTAACAGCAGGACCCTCATCCTCCGACTCAAAAGCGCGCGAGTTCGTCCCTCGTCGCGGACGAGACGCCTCCCGGCCAAGCATGTTTTGCAGGTTCCCGTCGTCCATCAGGGGACTACGACTCCGCTCGCCGACAGCCAGCTCGTCATTCCCGGATAACTTGTAGAGAAGGTATAAGATACCCCATTTTTGCGAGAGGACGGGTTGCGTCAGAAGACGTGAGTACAAATTCGAAAAGCGGACCGCCTTGTCTGGGCTGGGATTCTCGCGTCGGAGTTTACGCTTGATCAAATCAGGTGCGTTGTTGACACTCTCCACGCCCGCCAGACTACCTCGGCGCCCACCCGGGCCCGCGGGAGAACCTGGATCAGCTGATCCGGCAGCTGTGTGTGCATCGATCGTACGCCAGGCGCGCTCAAGCTGGGTATTGTGACGGTGGGACTCGGCTGCGTTGATGGCATCTTCCTCGTCCGAGTAGTCGTCGTAGTTCACTGAGGTAAGGGGAAGCGCGGGGCTCAGGGAGTCGACAAGTTGGGAGAGGGCATCGTCAATGCGGCGCGGACGAGCGGATTGTTTGGTGGTGGTTGACATGATACCGCCCCCGCCAATGGGCGATAGTATTGTGGACGTTGTTTTTCACTCTGGGTGTTGCGGTAGGCGGAGCCGGGGTGGTTATTGGGACGCGCGACACGCCGGTCAAGCAGCGGGTAACTGAAGAAAATTGCGCTCGTCCAGATTTGCTCCGTGAGCAGGTCCAATGGAATCGTCAGAGTCGCTGCAGGAGGTGATGTCGAGACAAAGTTCCATGCGCCGGACAGCTAAGGTTGTTTGTGACGTTTGACGCGCCCTTATCAAGCTTATCGAGTTTTAAGGTCCTACAGGCCCCGGTACCTGGACCACCCCAGCCTGTCGGGCAGAGGTGCCCAGCCACTGCAGTCATTTCTATGGTACCTGAGGTACGTACTATGCCCAAGGCAGCCCTGGAGCCAAGGTACGATTCGTATTAATCCCACCCAATTCATGACTGAATCGATTAACCACCATGCCACACTAATGAGAGCAAATCAGGTACCAACCTTCTACACGTCCTGAATACGATAGTGAAGATTCTTTCGCAAGCAATATTTAATTCCATTGCACAAGCGTTCCGTCCTTGGGAACTAGGGCAAACATAAACCAGAGAGCCATCCCGAACGCCATCCAGAATCATGTATCACAAACATAAGCAACCTGGAGAATCAAAGAGGGGGAAGAAAGAAGAAGAAAACAAGAACATGCACCCACGGCACACCAAGTATTAGACAAGTGAAAAAGAAGGAAGTTCTCTTGGTGTCAGAGAAGAAAATTAGAAAGAGGAGAGGTGAAAGGGTCGAGAGGAAAATACAGCTGGGGAAATTGTGGGGGAAAAAAAGGAACACAAGCCATGGGGAAAAGCAGAGAACACTGAAGCAGCCAGAAGAAACTCGGACGCCGAATTTGACGCGCCCTCCAAAGACTAAACGAAATCCATCCGTTCCAGACCATTGGAACCTGCCCGTCCATTTTTGAGTCGTGTGGATCATAAACACCTGTCCATGCCAAAAGGATTCGACAATTTATAGCCGAATAGAGAAAATATCGTAAAACAAGAAGTTGAGGGGAGATGGCCTCAAAAAATGGGGGAGCATCTGCCGTATCTTAGCAAAGGGGAATATATTGACGCCTTTGCATTCAGGAAATGCGATATGATTTAACGACGCATGCCCTGAGTGGGGATCGGGGCACCAGGTGGCATGCCCATGCCTTGAGACATATAGCCATGCGGATCGAAGCCAGCCGACATGCCATTCATCATCAGCGGGCCAAGACCTTGGGCTTGAGAGACAGGGCAGTCCTTGTGAGCCAACAGAAGGGTTTTCAAGTTGACAATTTCCTCTCTGAGCTGAGTGACGGTAGCGGTCAGAGCATCGTTTTCCGTGGTAAAGAGCTCAACCTTGGCCTGGAGGTTGGCCA